TTATTTACAAGACAAAAGCAGATTCACAGACATAGAGAACAAACTTATGATTACCAGGGGGGAAAAGAAGGGTGGAGGGATACATTGGGAGTTCCATATGTGCAGATACTAACTACTACATATAAAACAGATAAACAACAAAGTCTTACTGTATAGCATAGGGAACTATATTCAATATCTCATAATAACCTATAACGAAAAAGAATATGAAAAGGAATATATATATGTATAACTGAAACACTATGCTGTACACCAGAAATTAACACATTGTAAATGTGACAGAATGAATACTAAAGAGAGTTTACATAAATCACATACCAGTTTATTTTCCATAATAAAATTGTAAATGGAAGCAATAATTCTTTGCAACTCCAACTGGCTTTATTGCAACCCTATCCTTTTCTGAACTGTTTTCATGGCAATTTACATTGATTTACTAGACCCACGTACCAGCAAAACCAGTTTTTCTTCTGCATTTGCTAGGCAAGTTCTTACCTAGCTGCTGATACCTAATTTTGTTAACCTGTTTTCTATTCCCCTCTCCCTTTCCATCTGAGTTCCTGGTCTAGAGATGTGTAAGTCCTTTTGTCTCTCACGCACACTAAGGGACTCCTTGGCCAGGTTTTTCAGTTATAACTTGTTCCCACCCCCATTGGGTTCACCTGCTTCCTGGTCCTTTGCTGGAACTTATAGCCTCCTTCATCTGTCACTTGCAGGTAGGTGAACATTGTGATGTCTGATAAATGTAAGCCAGGGAGCTTGTTTCTTAGAGAATCTAAAGGTTTTGATTGCCTTTCTCTCATAGAATATACATTGGCTTTGAGATTCTCTGTCAAAACTTTAGGAAGTGTACATATTCAGGGGTAACCAAGGATTTTAGTAAATAGCTTATCATAATTCATGTTTTTTCCTGTCAACAAAATTCTAGTTACACAACCATTTGGAATAACCTTAAGTATACTAATGATTTATTATATTAGAATGATAGTTTATGCATTTACAGTTATAAAATAATTGGGCAACTGACCAACAGGGTTAAAAGAAAGGAAATTGTGTACACCTGTTACTATGATGTTAAATATAGCATATTTCTCACATATCCATTTCCCAATAAAGACTGAAGCCTGCAGAGTTTACATTTTCATTCTGAAGCTGGGAATACTACCAAGCTATAACCCTACGTCCAGGTGTGTGTCAGATTCAGCTAGTTAGTTTTCAAAAGATACCCTCAGCATGCACCTTATTCCACAAGTGACACTTTAGCTACATCAAATAAATTTGTATCTCAATTCTTTAAAAGGCCTTTTTATTTTATGTTTAACTCTGCTAAACAACTCTTAAAAATCAGCCTCCTACCTACAGCCTACTGACTTTTCCCAATCATTTAGCTTTGCCTTCCTAAACCAAGTTATATACCCCAAACTTTGGGAATGTTTATTTTTCAACAGCATAAAATGCTGCCTCCTGGGGAACTACTGATTTTGTATTATTTTCTTGACATTTCTCTACATTTGATCATAATTGCATGCTATTTGTAGTTTCACTAGAGTCTGTCTATTTTTAAGATTGTAAATTCATTTACATCAGGGTTTATGACTTCTCAGAATTTTGAATGCCCACAATGCTTACCCAAGTCTGAGTACAAGCTGGAAACTCAATACATGTTTGCCAAGTTGAAATTCTTAGTTTGGTTTAGCGAAGCTAAACTCTATCTCTCTGCTAAGATCATCTAAATGTGTAACCACATTTTCTTTTCAGAATCTGATCCCCATTTGGGTCATTTTCTCCAGCACCTTTCCCCTAGCTCACCCTTCTCCTGGTTCCCCTGCACCTGCAGCTATGTTACAACATTCAACCTGCCTGATTCTCCAACTAGATCAAGCTTACATAATTTTAAATTTTGTTTTGTTTTATTTATCTTGTGTCTGCATGGCCTTGTACACATCAATTGCTAAAATGAATGCTTCTGGAAAGAACAGGAGTGGCCTGAGCATAACTAGAATAGAAATATTAAAAGAGGGAAAAAAAGATATTTAATGTGCCCTGTTCATCTTTGTACATCAATTTACCAGTTTTTACAACTTGAAACCAATCCATTAGGGTTGACATGTTGACAGGCAGTCTTGGTTCGTGACAGATTAACCAATTCTTCATCTATTATTTATTCTCTGCCTACATGTAACAAAGCCATTAACAAAAAACAAAAGACCAGAAAAATAACATCATTAAAGCCAGGACAAAAACTAGAACCACATGATAGGGAGGTAGAAGGACATTGTTGGCTTAGAAAATCTAAGATCAACAAAAGCTCCAGCAACTTAGCATGAAATTTAGCAATGAAGATTAATTAAGTGATACAACTGCCAATGAAAATGATAACATCATCAGAATAACATAAAGAACGTTTCTGTGCCTAAATGTTCTAGTAACAATAGCATATAGTTTATATAATGTCTTCTTATGTATTCTATAATTTTATTCCTATAGTAATCATTTGAGATAGTAATGACTAACCTCTATTTATTAGATAAATTCAAAGCCTACTGAAATCAAATGAAAACCATTTAGCAGAGTAAAGGGTCAAGTGTGGCCCCAGTTCCCAAGAAAGTCAACGGACTAGGAGGATAGATAATTGTAACACCTACGCTGCATTAAGAACATACAAGAGCTATGAAAACGTACAGGAAAAAGTGCTATGGGAATTAATTATAAATTCAATAGTATTAACACATTTCAATGATATTTTGGGGCAAGATTCTCATTATTGGCCACCTTCAGAAATATTTTTCTTCTCTACAACAGTTTCAATTGAGTTTAGTTTCATAAAAATGCTCTTTTGAAGGTCAACCAGCAAATTTCATATTACTATCAAAAACAATGAAATTGGACAGGGATTCAAGGTTGTTAAAAAATTGTGACCATGACTGCACTCATATTTATTTAAACTTGTTAAGTCCATTTTAATGTCTGGCACTATAAACTAAGTAAACTGAGTATGAAACAGTACAAATCTAAGCTTTGCTTGACCTTTTTAATCATAAAACATTATCTATAAATTGATTACAATACTCAATTGAGTAGTTCGCCTGTAACATATATGCTATCATTATACTCATTACACCATAGATGGCAGAATCTACAGTGTTTTCCCCTAAAAAGTTACTGTAAAAAAAAAAAAACTACTCAATATGAAAACCTGGCTTGATATGAAGACTATTTGTCTGAATTCTACTACAGTGGAAGACTTCATTATTACTCTGAATTGGGTATCTGTCACCTGTCAAGGTTTGGATATATCACGTGACTTACAGTGTAATCTTACAGAGCAAAAAGCGGAGGTAGCCTTTGCATAAGGGCAGTCTGGCTTTTCTAACATCAATATTATAAAAGATATGTAACTGTAATCATTTAAATTGTGTGTTTTTACTTAAAAAAAGTAAAAGCAGTGAAAGCTAAATTGTAATAGCAAAATATGAGACAAGACAGTGGAATGCCTAGTGTTAACAGCCTTTTAATCCTGGTTCAAATCCTTGCTTTGAAGTGTATTTCAGGCTCGAGTCTCAGTTCCCTCCCTCACAAGGAAAATGGGGTGGATGACCTTTGTCTTACGTAATAGCTGTGAGATTTACCAATAACCCACAGCCTGGGATTCAATACAATGCAAATCAGCTCCCAAGTAAACCAGCAACCAAGAATTGTGTGAGTCTTGTTTATATGTAGCGGCTTCATCCTCAAATTGACTGCTCATAGGATTCTGTTTCAACTACTATTACTACGATACCATCTTTTCATATGGAGACTCTAAAAAGATATGACACAATCCTTGCCATCATAGAACTGCATCAAATTCTCACCCAGAATTTCTTTCTTTGAAACTATCCTCCAAGGTGGACAGTTCTGGGAAACAGACCAGTCGAGGACTAGAGAGATCAGTTTACCTTCTGTGACTCCCTTTAAAATCCTCAGTACACTTCACCTTTCAAATGCTCCCCGAGCGTTTAAATTGACTTAAAAAATCCTTAACATTAGTCGTTATTCAGCTTTTCGGTAAAACCAAATAATGTTTTGAAAAATGCTGACTTCAGCTGTAGCAAGAGATTAAGAGATTTAAGGTTCAATTATTCATATGCCGCCTTATTTCTAAAAAATCATCATGCCTGTCTGCCTTAAGACTGGGCCTGGGAGGGAAGGCAGATGTAAAATCCCTCAGGGGAGTAAAACCTGACCCTGGGAGCCTGCGGACGGAGAGGAGAGGCAAGTGCACAGAGCTCGAGCCACAGACGCCTCCTGTACGGAGCGGAGGCAGAGCATCTGCACCGAGCGCCGGGGACTCGCCCGCCCAGGACCCGGGGGGCGGGCCCGCTGGGAGCCGCGCTCCGAGGGGGCCATCGCGGGCTGGGGCGGTGGGTCCGGCGAGCTGCCGCCCGGCTACTGCGCCGGGAGGGTCCGCATCGCTGCACCCTCGGAGGAAAGCGCGCCAGGCTCAAGAAGACACTTGTCCTTGGGGCCGTTTTCTGGGGTTGCTGGGCACCCTCTGCTCGGAGTCCCCAGGGGTGTGACAAACGGGCTTCAGAGGCTGGAAGTTACTGAACTTTGAAAAAG